TAGGTGTTTTAAAAACTGTATAGGCCTCTTTTTCTTTTTTTTTTCTAAAAATAATGATATCAGGATTGGTTTTGCAAAATATTAATGCACGGTTAAACAGCTCCGAACTTGTTTTTTAAATAATTGAATTTATATTGTAAACAGAATTTTAGCAAATTATAAACTTAAAAAACAAAAGATTTTCCTTGGCAGCATCTATAAATCTATATATTAATTATAGCCAGAGTTTATTTTTAATTGGCTAAAAGATAGCACAACTTGTAGAGCATTAGCCATATCTTAACCAACTACATATTTTCTATTGTTACTAAATAAAAGTTATTCTACTATCATAATTTTTCTCACAATAGGTTGAATCAGAATGTGCTAACAAGAGATTCTTGATATATGTGGAACAAAATAGGCAAATTTTTATAATCTTCATTATATTGTTATGTTAGTTGCTGTATTATTGGTCAATAAAATTGAGAATATTAAATATTTGACCAATATCTGCAACCTCTGTAAAAGAAAATCTTTATATTGTTGTATGCTAAATTTGGCTATTATTGTTGATTAACAAATGAAAATAAACAATAAATAAGGGTAGCAAAAAGGAAAACCTTGTTCCATTACCATCAAAACATATGAGATCTATTGTTTAAGATAAGAAGTTATATAGTATGTTGAAAAATAAAAATGATCTAAAACATTGCATTAAACCATATGTCAATAACTATAGTATTCAGAAGATTGCAAATTTTAAAAAAATTTAAATAGTACTGTAACTGTTGAATAGTATAGATAATATACCAATTTAACTCCAATAGTATATATTAAAAAATATGAATTTAGACAGTAGTTTAGAGATAGTTTATATAACTTTCAAGTAGTAATCTTGTTAGAATGTTTAATTATAGAAGGCTGTATATTGATACTTAACACTTTGTAATATTATGTGATTAATTAATACAGATATGATGATGAATAATAACTCTGTTTATTTATAGTCATTATCTTCTGTATAATTATATACCAATATAGCTATTATAATTGTAGAATTTGATATTCTAGTAGCTCCAAAATATATAAAGATATTCAAGTGGGTTGTAGATATCAATAATGCAGTGCTTGAAGATCTAAAAAGTTCTATAATTGCGATACATCATTTACCAGAAATGAAAAAATGATACATCGCTCACTATTACATATAATAATAAAAAATACATTCTACTTAATAATTCAGAGTTCCAAAACCAACTCCAATTATTTGTATTTCCAAAAAGTATATAATCTTTATGGGCTTTGTGAAGAAGAGATTTCACAACTATCAGCACTCCCTCTCCTTAACTGTGAATGCGTGAAAGAGAAAAATTTATAATCAAACATATTATATTTGATCTGAGTCTCTGACATAAGTATATTTTTACCAGTAACAAAGCATCTAAAATACAGTATATCAGTATATACCTTTTAGCTATTGCTGCTTTTTTGAGAATAAGTTGAAGATTTGTGCTAAGAAACAGATCTCAGGTCTGAATGGATATGGGCCTGTAGATTTTGCCTTAGTTTTTTTATAAACATCTGAAGTAATTTGTGTAATAAAAGTTAAGGCAAAGGACTTCCTACAAGGCATTGCACAGAATATTTTTTAAAATACTTATTAGACAGTAAAGAAAAGTCTAATTTTAGTTTATCAAGACCTTTAGTCATCGTATATGGTGATGATGATATAGAAAAGCAGGTAAAAGAAGTTTTAGGACACATTGTGTGGCTATTAAATGATGTTCAAAACTTGGGTGAAAACTCAAGCTAAAATAGAATAAAATATTATTTGTAATGTATTATTGCATGTTTAATAAAATAGCTATGTATCATGTGGTATCGCGCAAGACTAGTACAATCAGTATCAGTAAAGTTTACTGGGTTCTATACCCGTATACATGCTATTACTATTGAGACTATATTTTGCTTTTGCATATTAAAAATAAAGAAACTACATGATAGAAATTTACAAACAAAGAAAAATTTATAAAAATTTTTTGTAACAACACCTAGCACATAGATGCTCATGGGAGATATAAATATAGGCTGCCATCAATAGAAATCAGACAGATCTACAAATATATGATTTTGAGATAATTGATGTTTTTTGTAATGTAATACAAAAAATCTTTAAATAAACAATCCAACTTTGATTTCTGACTTGGTTTCTAATCAAAATCAGGACTCTACATTTGGAAATATGTGTATATAATATATGTACGTATATATATACGTATTACTGTATATCTGATACATACATAACTAGCTATTTTTACAAAAGAATATTAAAAGAACATCAAATCTTTTTTTTTAAAGAGCTATACAGTTTACTGTATGTTAAACTTCAAAAAAAATAAGATATAAAGTGTTCTCTAGCGTTTCAATTAAATTTTATTTGGCAGAAAATATTTTTAATTGATCAATCGAGCTTGTTATTAAGATAAGTAAGGAGAAAAAAATGAACAGTGAGTTTACTATTTCAGTCAAAAAACTTATTTGCCCAGAACCTCTTTTTTTTTGCTCTGATTTATTAAAACTTTATAAATATTAAAGTGAATAAAATATTGTTTAAGCGGTTTTATACTTTTTATTATTAGATTTTCATTATTGATACATATTTTTCGTAAAATTTTTAATAAACTATTTAGGAATCCTCTCAAGCAGTGATTGAAATATTTATTTTAATTTATCAATATAATTGAGCAAAATCACAGTAATAGTAATACTTGAGCATACCTCAATAATATTGAAATTGCATCGAAATTGATGCTAGAGAACACCCATATACTATATATATAGAGTGTTGATGAATTATTTAGTTTTTGTATGATTAAGCTTCATTAAGTGATTAGATGTATACTATAAAGATGTCAAAACTGTTCAAGATATTGCATATATTAGATTAAAATCTAAATTTGACCTTAATTGTCAGAATGCAAGAAGTTTTTATTTATTATGTGAATTGAATTCTAAACTTTTTTACATTAAATGTAAGATTATGGGTATTCTCAAGCAACAATCTAGATGCGATTTCATTAATCAAAATAGGACACATATATTATGATGTAATTTTGGCTATTATCATAACATTTTAAATAAAAGTCAATAATATGAATAACGATATTGTTGATATATGTTCAAGCATTATTATTACCATAGTTTTCTAATGATGCTCAATTAAAGGTCTCAAAAAATGTATATCGATAATGAAAATTTATAATAAAAATATAAAATCACTAAGCAATACTTTATTCTATAAAGTTTTGATAAGTCAGCACAAAAAAAAGGTAGTTCAGAGAAAAAGTTTTTTGACTAAAATAGTAAACCCACTGTTCATTTTTTTACTATTTAAAATTTTTTTTAAACTACCTTACTTAATGACAAACTTGATTGATCGATTAAAATACTTCTGTTAATTAAAATTTAGTTTTTGACATATTCTAAATCTAGGTAAGAAATAATTACTATTTACATTGCTTTTTTGGTTTAGGTTGTTGTAGTTTTGGACAATAAGAATTATATTTGAATTGATTTTGAATATGTTGTCTTACTTCTTTATATAGATACTATCAGTATTCTAAGCTTAAGCCAGGGGAAATTATTTTATCAGGAAATTCATCTTTAACAGATAATTTAGTATTTGTATGAAGTAAGTTTACTGTTGTTTTGTCACCATTAATTGATAATTTGACTTCGACTTTTTCTAAAGAGTTATGGTTTAAAATAAAGTGGTGTTGCTGAAGAATTGATAGAATTGTTGAAA